GTAGTAGAGCCATGTAAGATCGGTCGGCACGCCTTTGGGCGACGAGCGATTTCGTGTCGGTCGGTGCATCGGGCCGAGATCTCTTTCTAAATGCGCCAGCAGATCCGACGCCGATAAAAAGGTACCAACGCGATGTAAAACCTACCGCCACTTTGCGTGCCCCGGGATGCCGCCGCATTTCCGACAGCGTCCCGATCCTATCGATCTTCTGATATCCGCGCGAAATTTTATTCGTGAGAAACGGATATTTTCCAAGCACGAGCGTGTTTAATTGGAAAATATATCAAAACCAAACAAAATAAAATATATATATATATCAAATAAAATTTTGCACATTTTACAATTGTGCCCTGCACAGAATTCTATAATAAGATCGTATAAAATTAGATTTCGTCCTACGCGTTTTGACAGAAGAAACGTTCGATACTATAATAATGTTAGTAACGTCGTAGGAACCGCAGAAACGCGCCAATTCGCGAAATGATGCCGCGAGATATACATATATATACATATATAACATTCCGAATACTAAACATTCTCATGCGTCTGGCGGATCGCATCGCGGATTTATCCGGCGAATGCCCGGGGTAGCAAGAAATCTGCATTTAAAGACGATAAATCATATCTGTACGCGCGCGGGCGAAACGGGCGCAATTTCGGTTTCCTGCCCGTTCATCTCTCTCGCTGGATTCCGTTCCCTCTGGCTGTTCGAAAACACGCCGCGAGAAACTGTCGATTTGTCGTATTCTCCATCGGAGAGAAGCCGCCGGGCAATACGCAACGGATCTGTAGATATGAGAAAGAGAGAGAGAGAGAACGCACAGGTGTGCAGCCCGTAATGGGCGTCCGATATCATCATGGTATCGTTGGGATCTTCAGGGCGTACCTCCGCTCGTTACAGGAAGCCGTGAGAGATCTCGACTTTTTTCGAGCGAGACTGCATAGCGCTACGTAGAATGTGCCAATCTTCTGTGACCGCTTGAAGAATTATAGCACGAAGAGTGTCGGGTAATTTAGATCTAATTTAGCCGCGTATATCAATACGTTTCCCCTTTAACTCAGAACTGCGCGATTTATTTATCAGAATTAACCACGTTTCCGTTCTCAGGAGACTCGACTAGGTGTTATATAGTATTACGTAGAGTTAATATATATATCGCCGGGCGCTTGATAATAAATATTTCTCCACACAACGGCTATAAATATTTTTACCGAGATAATCTCGAAGAATTAAATTACGCGCGAATTAACCAACTACTGCACACAAGAGATAATGAAAAATACCACTTGAGTGTACTATTTAGGAAAAAAGTACGGCGTAATATAGTATGCACGTGTATATTTTATCATAATTATTGTCCGTATCTTATTAATGTTATACTTTGCATTCAATTTTTCCTTTCTTACACTGTGATAGCCCGAAGAATAAAAAAAGAGAGGCTTCAGATTCATAAATCGGCGTATCCTTTCCGATTCCGCAACCGCGCACGAAAGAGCGGAAAAAGAGAATACCCCGAAAATCTTGAAATTGCGGCCGATTCGTGTAATGCGCGTTAATGCGAGTCGAAGAACCTCACATTACCACCAGTGATCTCTGAGAGAATGAAGAAGAGATAATACCCGAGCAGGAAGGGATGCAAACGAAGGGCGCGAATGAATAGTTCGGAGATGCGCAACCGTAAGAGCAACTCTCCGTCGAAATTATCCCTTCCGTGTACGTTTTGCGGATGGTATTTCGTGTGGTCTACCGTACATATCCGCATCGATGAGTAATAATTAGACGATGCCAGACTCACGTGGAATTTTGTGGAAACGAATTCGGAGTTCCTCTTTGCGCGAAGCAGCAAAGATTCATTCTTTTCCTCTACCTTTAATCCATCACAGAAAAAAAGGAATCCTTGATTCAAGTATATTTTTATTTCTTGAACGCTATTTGATTGATTTAAGCATAGAATGCTCTTTGTAATCACAAATTTTCATTTGCCTTAATAATAAATAAGCTTGTGCGAAGTATATTTTATCCTTAAGATATATTCTTGTTTTAAAAATCGCATATGGTAAAAACAAACTTAGTCACATTGGAACTATTAGAATTATTATATATACTTGAAAGTACCGCTTATATTCGGTGCTCACTTGTCACTTGTCCTTGCAATATTTATAAGTAAATTCCAGTTTCAACCAAGAATATTTTGCACTTTGTTTTAAGGATAAATTATCCTTTATCCAAAATTATTTATGTTTGGCGCTATTATAAGGATAAAATATACTTGAATCAAGGCATATTTGCATTCTTTCAAGGATACTATTTTTTCTGTGATCAAACGTGCGTGTCTCTCATAGAAAACTCATTAAATGAGCATTTAATTTACACAAATAAACATTTATATTGACCGATTCATTATTTAAATTAATTATCTAAACAACCTGAGAAAAACTTGCATTTTTATTTTTAATTTAATAAATTTAATGTGAAAAAAATGATCTAATAATTTTTATAAGCAATTATATATATAAGAGAGTCGCAATGCAGTTTCACGTATTGAAACTTCATGCAGAAAAATGCATTTTACAACGGAAATAAAACTATACGCGTCGTACGTTCCTCGGATCGCGATACACACGGCTTAATTAAATGCACCCACGTAAGATGATACTCTATTCGCGCGAGAGTCGCAGTCACGGTTTCTCACGTGAAAAGGTGCCCGCGCCGATAATACAAGCGCAAAGTAAAAGTTATCGTACAATTATCGTGCTATACACCCATATCGCTGACATTTATCGGCCGCCCAACATTTTCATAGCCCTCAACTCGCACCGGATCATAATGAGCGCGCGTGTATGTGTTAATGTACATATACACGTGAGAAACGTATTTCTATAAGCGCGAAAGTACATTCTTTCCTGTGTGTCCGTTCATCGATACTGCATACAGGATATCCATACTTGCATACAACGGACTTGTAAAAAGTGTATAGCTTCTAATAACATATATAAAAACAGTATTAAATTTTTTTATAAATTGATAGTGGAATCATGAAAAGTTTTTCAAAATTTTATTGAGAAATATTAAAATTTTTCAATGTTTACATACAATTAAAGCATATTTATTTGTGAAAAAACAATATATATTAAAATAAATAATTATGTGGTTTGAAAAAAGTTAAAACACAATCCAGTTACTATTTTAAGTACACCTCATACACTCACACGTCAACAACCATGCTGCATTTACCGGATGTACTTGTCTGTTAATCGTGCGCGTCTATAGAACGAGAACTGCATTCTCGAGTTACCTGGATAATATATTAGCGCCAGGACTAATTTAATGAAGAATAGATCGCCATTATTCAAGTAATCCGATGCCAGACTAGAAACGTAACAATTACACGAAAATTACGACGAAGATACCAACTGTCTAAATACACGAGTAGTTAACTTATATTTTCAAACATTTTAATCTTTCAGACTGACACTTTATTTTAAATGACATATCGACATATTAAAACTAATTATCATTATTATATCATTTTAACATATATTCATAAAAAATAAAGATTAGAATAAATACAAATTATTTTCTACATAAAACTTAAAAATTTGTTTTTACATGTTGTTTAATAAAAAGAAATAAAGATTAAGAAAGCGATTAAAAAATGCAATTATTTTAGATGTTACCGTTAAAAAGATTAAAATGTAGCAATTTAAATAATTATTTCTTTATATTTCGATGTTTTAATCAAACTTATATTGAGATCATTGCGTATGTGGCATAATTTCCAAAGAGCTGCATGGTCAGCGTTTTAATGATCTTCGTTAACTAACCATATCTCAAACAGAACTGGCACGATCATTACGAGATCGCCAAGAATTATTAAGGAATACGATAATAAGGCAATAAATAGTCGCTGCAATAATGAATTAAAAGATATTAGCGTACTAGGCTTAAGGGCCTAATCATTTGTCGATCTAACGATCGCAATTTATGTTGCGGAATAGAGTATGATCTCATACAAGAAATTTATTATTTTTACAAAACTATTGGCATTTAATTGTCGTTAATTATAATTAATCAATGTAATTACAAAAAGTGTTTCAACAAATATATTAATTTTTTTTATGAATTTTAAATACAATGTTCCAGGAAGTTTCTTGTCAAATTTTTGATAATTCATTTGCTTTTTTCTCGTATATATTTTCAATGACACTAAAACATGTCGATCAATAGAATTTTTAAAGATAGTATTCTGTGTGGTTTTAATCGTTTATTGAACGATCGGTGGGCAAGGAATATTAAGGACGATTGACGATAGCCGGGTTGGTTTTCGAAGGCTCCCTTCAATTTTATTAATTAAATAATAATTATGGTGTCGTTCCTCTGGTCTGGTAGTCTTTCGCTCGTCCTTCTTGCAACGGGAGCGGGTTAAAATCGCTACAGCGCAAAGATCCACAAACTCGGAGGTATTCGGTGAACGCACTTTTCGCAGAATACAGAGCGAAAACTGTTTCGATGGAGTATCACTGACTTGTGATCGCTTAGACGGCTGAACGCAGACTTACTCGGAATCGACCGTCGGATCGCAGGAACCCGCCGGTTTCGGAGAAAAAAGAGGGAAATAACACGAAATCAGAGCGCGGGCAATAACAAGCCGTGTTTATGTATATAGTTTTTTTTGGTTGATCAGCTGTGTGCTCGCTCGCGCAGACAATAAGTCGAGGCGAGCGATAGTCGCAAAAACGCTTCCAAAACATACCGCCCGCCTCGAATGAACACATTCGAAATGCGCATTGTGACGAACAAGAGATGCACTTCGGTTTGCACCAACGACGATAACGTTTACAATCGATTGAGAGATCCACTCTATCGATTTGAACAGTCTTATCGTGATTACGAGACCAGTGACAAAGGTATACATAAGAATATAGTTGATTAAATTTTAAAACAAATTAAACAAACGCAAACAAACAAAACGAGATATATATATGAGCAAGTGCTCGCTTTACTTTTTATCTCCGCCCGCCGAGCCGGATATCATTGACATCTCTTGATTGATGTCGACGGGAAGATAACAAATTTTGGTGATAGGGCGCTTATATTCTGCGCGGCTCGTTCGGACGGTGACGACTCTCGTCAAGCCGTCGGCTCCGGGATGGCACGCAACAATTCGGCCGAGCTCCCATTGACTCGGGGGAGCTAGCGGATTTCGTAGAAGAACTAACTGACCGACGCGCGCTAATTTTTGTACAATTCGCCATTTTGGGCGTTGTTGGAGGGTGAGCAAGTAATCGTTGCGCCAAGATCTCCAAAAACCTTCGGTGATGCGCTGCGTCATCTGCCAGCGTGACAATCGATTTTCATGCAGGTCGAGAACGCTGGGTTCGGGAACCGCTGCTAACGGAGCGCCGATTAAAAAATGCCCAGGAGTTAAAACGCGGTAGTCTTCCAGATTCTCGGAGACGGCGGATAACGGTCGAGAATTTAAACACGCTTCGATTTTACAGAGAAGGGTGTTCATTTCTTCGTACGTGAGAGTGTGAGCACCTATGCAACGTTTGAGGTGCGTTTTGACGCTACGCACACCGGCCTCCCAGAGACCACCGAAATGTGGGGCGGCCGGGGGAAGGAAATGCCACGATGTTTTTTCGCAAGCGGTCGCCTCAATAAAATTTGGATCGCGGAGGGCGCGACGATGTGCATCGGCTAATTCGCGATCGGCTCCTTGGAAAGTTGTGCCATTATCGCAATACATCCCCTGGGGAAGACCTCGTCTGGACACGAACCGATGATACGCCGCGATAAAGGTGGCCGAAGTATAATCGGTCACGACTTCAAGGTGGATAGCCTTAGTAGTGAGGCATACAAACAGGGCGATGTACGCTTTGTGAGACTTATGTCCGCGCCCGGGTGTACTTCGTAACAAAATAGGACCAGCATAATCGACTCCCGTGTGTGAAAACGGTCGCGCCGCGCGATTTACGCGAACCGACGGAAGATCTCCCATGAGTTCATTTGGAATGGTCGCAGCCTCGCGGGCACATCGCACACATTTGTGAAGGACTGCGCGGGTACAAGTGCGAGCGCGAAGAATCCAGAATTCGGAACGTAAGGATGCGAGAGTGAGTTGTGAACCGCCGTGTAGCATGCGATGATGGTGATGATCGATGATGAGGGAAAGGAGAGGATGCGACCGAAGGACGATCGGGTACTTCGTCGAATCTGGCAGGCGAGCGTGACGTAGACGTCCGCGGACGCGGATGAGTCCGTCGTCGCTCAGCGAAGGATTGAGAGATGAAAGCGGACTGGATTTGGACACGGATCTCTTCGCAGCGAGACAGACTAATTCAGCGGGAAACATAGCTGCCTGTATACAGCGGAGCCAGTACGCTTTGGCTGCGGCGATTTCGTCGACGCGCGAACTGCGTTCGAGTGATTGATTTTGCCGTCGCGCGAGATTCCCGAATCGAATTAGATACGAGGTCACGCGAAGCAATTTCGGCCATGATGAGAAGCGAAAAGCGAGATCCCATAATTCCGGAGGCGCCGGAGAATCCGTGACGTGTACGTTTCGTTTCTCCAAAAGATCGGTGGATGTGATCTCATCTTGTATGAGATTGCCGTTCGGCCAAGAGGTTGGAGGCAAAGACAGCCACGGGGGTCCGTGCCACCATAACGGATGTGGAGCTAGTTCCTCCGGAGCAAGACCACGGGACGCGGCATCGGCGGCGTTGTCGTAAGTCGGAACATGGCGCCACGGTATGTCCGGTAAGGTCGTTTGAATGGCCGCGACGCGATTTGCTACGAACGTTCGCCAGCAAGACGGCGATTTACTTAGCCAGGCTAGCGTTATGGTGGAATCCGTCCAACAATGTATTTCGATGTTCGGCAGTTGAAGCGTCGTTCGAACGAACTGCACGAGGCGCGAAAGAAGATGTGCAGCGGCTAACTCGAGACGCGGAACGCTTAATGTTTTGAGAGGGGCGACCTTGGACTTCGCGGCGAGCAAGAAAACGTCGACCGATCCGTCGATGTTAATGTTACGGAGGTAGACTACCGCCGCATAGGCTTTCGTAGAGGCGTCTGAGAAACCGTGTAACTCCGTTTTCAAGGTATGAGAGCCGGATCGCGTCCAGCGCGCGATTTCGAGTTGATGAAGGCACGATAAGTGCGAATAATAGCGTTCCCAGTCGGTTGCGTAATCGCCGGGAATGTCGTCGTCCCAATCGCATTTTAATTGCCACAATGTTTGCAGAAATATTTTTGCGGTAATCACGACGGGGGTGATCCAACCGAGCGGATCAAATAGTTTGGCGATGGTCGATAAGATCTCGCGTTTCGTTTTCGAAATATGTGTCGGGAGAGAAACTTTAACCCGAAAGACATCGCGACACGGGTCCCACGTGAGACCTAGCACGCTCAATCGCTCATCATCATATAGCTCCTTTGAGCAGGCAAGACCGTGATCGGACGGATCAATATCCGATAGAAGATCTGCGCAATTGCTTGCCCATTTTCTCAAGCGAAAACCGCCCTTTTCTAATAAAGCGACAAGTTGGTCGCGAGTCTGGCGCGCGAGAATTTTATCGTCGGCGCCGAACACGCTGTCGTCGACGTAAAGTTGCGAAAGGAGAACCGGAACCGCGAGCGGAAATGAGGCGCCTTCATCTTGCGCTAACTGTCGCAAAACACGGAGAGCGAGGTAAGGAGCGGAAGCGGTGCCGTAGGTAACTGTGAGTAGTTGATACTCCTCGACTGGTTGTTCCGGAGACTCTCGCCACAGAATCCTCTGGTAGTCAACATCGCGTTGGTCAACTAGAATTTGCCGATACATCTTTGCGATGTCGGCAGTGTAGACATAGCGATGTTGACGCCATCGCATTAGCACCGTGGCGAGATCGAGCTGGAGCTTAGGCCCGACCATCAAGTGATCGTTCAAGGATGTGCCGTCCGAGGTTCGACACGACGCGTTGAAAACGACGCGTAAGCGCGTCGTGGCACTGCTGTCTCGTACGACAGCATGATGCGGGATATAATAGCGGTGGAGTGCATTCCCACGGCGATTATCCGCTGGCGCGATGGTCATATGACCGAGTTGACGATACTCGGTAAGGAATTCGCGATAGGCGGAAGCCGTTTCCGGCTGACGAAGGAAACGCCGTTCGAGGCGTTGAAGGCTGGCGAAGGCGACGGCGCGCGATTCGCCTAACGAGACTGCGGTGTGACCTTTAAAGGGTAACCGAACGACGTAACGCCCTTGAGGCGTGCGGTAGTGAGTGGACGAAAAATGTTCCTCACATTCGAGATCTTCGGGATTTGGAAAAGATGAGAGGGGAATATCCTCAATTTCCCAAAATTTACGGAGAATGGAGTCGAGAGATTCAAGGACGGTTCCATGATGCACCTGCACAGATGCGCGTGGATCAGTGGAGATGGGAGTGACGGGTCCGGAGAGGATCCAGCCAAGAGTGGTTTTTTGAGCCGTAGGCTCGTTAACGGATCCTTTTCGAATACCGTCGAGGAGGATCAGGCCATACAGGTCGGCGCCGATAATGACGTCGATCGGATCGCGACTCATGAGATCTCCGTCGGCTAAACGCAATCCAGATATATGCGACCAGCGACACGCGGAATTTGTACGATTTGGCGTATATTTTGTTAAGCAGGGGAGAACAAGAGCGGTCGTCGAGTACGCAGGTTCATCGCCGAACGCAGGAGTTACGATGACGGTAACTGCGTGATGCGATACGGATTGTTTATCGCCGATGCCGGCAATCCGAACGGCTTGCTTGACGCGCGGTAACCGTAGGCATTGGGCGATTGATTCGGTGATAAGCGTAACTGCGGAACCTTGATCAATCAATGCGCGAACAGTAACTACTCGTCCTTGTGGCGAATGCACGCGAACGCGGGCAGTTGCGAGGAGAATCGCGGCCTGCGGTGACACCATGTTTGTGGAGAGATGCGTTGTGACGTCGCTATTACTCGAGTCGCTCGACGTCGTCGCGACCGCGGATTCGATGGTATCTCCTTGATTGGCGGATGTGTCAAAATGCAAGAGCGAGTGGTGCTTTTTCTGACACTGTTTGCATGTGCGCGGGCTCGTGCATTCCTTCACAACGTGCTTCGCGCTGAAGCAATTGATACACCGTCGGTTGAGACGGATTAACTCGAATCGTTCGGACGGTGTTTTGCTAGCGAAGGTCGAGCACTGGTATAATAAATGTTTGGCTTTACAGACAGGGCACGTGACGTTCGCGGGAACGCCGGAATTGGAGGCGAGTACGTGGCGTTTCGCCGATTTATTCGACTCGGATGCTTTCTCTTTCGGATTCGCGGGAGCGATCGCGTCGAATGCGCGAATTCGAGTATCGATAAATTGCGTAAGATCTTTAAAGCGAGGATACTCGCTGGTTTCGCCAAGCTTTATCTCCCACGCCTCCCGAGTTGATTTATCGAGTTTCTGCGAAACGAGGAAGACCAATAGATCATCCCAGTGCTCGACCGGACGCCCGAGATTCTTTAACGCATGTATCGCGGCGTTGGTCTGATCACAAAGGTACCGAAGGTCTTTGGAGTTTTTGCTCGGAACCGCGGGTAAATCAACTAATGTTTGCAAATGCCCGGTAATCAAGCGTCGCTTATTTTCGTAACGTGAAATTAAGAGGTTCCACGCGACAACGTAATTCGCGTCTGTAATCGCGAGGTGGCTCAACGCCTTACTAGCTTCACCCTTTACACACGAACAAAGATAATGCAAACGATCGACATTTGACAGCGAGGTATCGTTAGCGATTAACGAGGTGAATCGGTCGCGGAAATTTTCCCATTTGTCAAAGCCTCCCTCGAACGTCGGTAAGTGTAGCTTGGGCAAATGTGACGACCGGCGAGAGAATTCGGAAGGGTTGCTTACGTCCAAGGTTGTTGACTGATGCCGCGGTCCTGGTTCGAAGGCCTCGAGAATTTCTGCCATGTAGTCGGATGTTTCGTTGAAGACGTCCTCGCAGGCGAAAAACTGCTGCTCCTTGAAGTAAGGCAGCTGCTGCTTCTGAGTATCACTGGCCAGACGAGTGATTTTCGAATGGAGTTCCTGGCACTTCGAAAAGATGACCTTCAGGTTGGCGAGGCGCTCCTTGGTAACGGCACGAGTCATCCGTGCTTGGCCAAGTTTCTTGAAATTTGGCAGAACTCGTGCGACAGAGTACATCAGCTGTGTCTGATCGCTGATTATCTCCTCCACGTTCGACATGATGCCGGCAGATCGTCAATGCCTGGTTTCGTCTTGCCACCGATCCGGCTCGAAGGACCAAAATTATGTGTGGTTTTAATCGTTTATTGAACGATCGGTGGGCAAGGAATATTAAGGACGATTGACGATAGCCGGGTTGGTTTTCGAAGGCTCCCTTCAATTTTATTAATTAAATAATAATTATGGTGTCGTTCCTCTGGTCTGGTAGTCTTTCGCTCGTCCTTCTTGCAACGGGAGCGGGTTAAAATCGCTACAGCGCAAAGATCCACAAACTCGGAGGTATTCGGTGAACGCACTTTTCGCAGAATACAGAGCGAAAACTGTTTCGATGGAGTATCACTGACTTGTGATCGCTTAGACGGCTGAACGCAGACTTACTCGGAATCGACCGTCGGATCGCAGGAACCCGCCGGTTTCGGAGAAAAAAGAGGGAAATAACACGAAATCAGAGCGCGGGCAATAACAAGCCGTGTTTATGTATATAGTTTTTTTTTTTTTGTTGATCAGCTGTGTGCTCGCTCGCGCAGACAATAAGTCGAGGCGAGCGATAGTCGCAAAACGCTTCCAAAACAATTGTATTAAGAAAATGAATAACTCTGTGAATTAATATAAGAAATTCCGATATTTTTAAAATGTGAATTTAATTTTTAGTGTGTGAAATTATGACAAGTATTAGAGTACTCGCGCTTAAAAACGTTAAAATCGAATGGTAATTAAATTATT